CTGTAGCAATTTCGTGTATGGCGGTTTTCAAACGGAGTGGCTGAAGCGAAATACACTCATCTGCAAACTAATTTGGTTTTGCGAGAGGCTCACCTGGAACCCAGCGAAATCTCTCGTTTGTGATGTTTCCAGGCAACTGAATGTGCTGCACCAGGCCGCCTCGTTTCAGTTGCCTGGAAACATCACAAACGAGAGATTTCGCTGGGTTCCAGGTGAGCCTCTCGCAAAACCAAATTAGTTTGCAGATGAGTGTATTTCGCTTCAGCCACTCCGTTTGAAAACCGCCATACACGAAATTGCTACAGGAAGAAGCTGAGACGATAGATATCCTAGTTCAAAACGTTAGTGCAACCGCCAAAACAGCGCCTCTGAAAAAGTGCAACGAAGTACTTTATGTAGCGAAACAGGTGCAGAGACACAAACAATAGTAACGTATGCGTATGAACTGCGCATGAGAAATGTGAGCACGCTGTCTTTTATGCAAAATCGCCACAAATGAGGCTATGGATTCCACAGTTGTTGCGTGCGTGGATTTCATCACCTGGCATAGGTGTAGACTTCTTCAGTGGGAGTGATGTCCAACAAATGGCAGAGGAAAAGGCTCCGTGGATTAGGTGATCGTCTGGTACGCGCAACACGTATTTAGTGGAGTGTGATTGGCTCTTCAATCGAGGATGAGCTGAATATCTTAAAACCCGACCGACAGACCTCCGCATTACTAATCCGATGGTCTTACCAACAATTCGAAGATGTAGAAAAATAGAATAGAGGGACAAACGTTGAAAGCATTCACTAATAAAGTCAGCGTCAATAGGTCTGGAGACGTGAAAAACTGGGAGAATTCATGGTAGGTTAGCCATAGGATTCTTCCATTACCATCTCTTTTACTCTTTCTCACGAATAAGTTTTCAAATAAATTGTGTTTGTACAGGAACGAAACATCGGCGTTCGGCATTGTTCAATACAGTCTACGGCGATAGTAATGACTTTCACTTAGTGATAGCTAGATAGAAAGGTGACCATAAGTTGGCCATCTCTCCGCTTGCGTCACTTTGAGAACAGCATTCTTGTCGGCAAACGATAATTCGGCGCTCGCAACGCACAAACAAACCGCCACAGTTTTTGATGCTGGACACACTCTTACATTTAAAAAAACATATTTATGCCGCCACTGTAAGCCCAAACAATGTCACTTCCAGTATAAATCGCTGGCTCCTGGTGTTTTCGACTGCACCAACAAGGTCTTCTGCTGAGCAGAAGAGCAGAAGAGGTGGTAGTAGACAATGACCAATTCCGTCGCTTCGGTGGTTTGGGTTGAGTGCTCATGAAAATGCTAAACACACATACATTAAACAGCAGCGGAGACCAGAAAAAACTAAATCAAGGGGCTTTTTTATGTGATACGGTACATCGTTTGGAAGTAGGCCATTAAGCAGAGGCCATTAGGATAATCGAACTGCTTTTGTGGTCAGTGAAGGACATGTTTGAAAAGACCGATTTAGTGGTTGAATGGGTCCATTGTTTGTAGAAAAACTACTATGGTTTCACAACTCATGTTTGAAAAGACCGATTTAGTGGTTGAATGGGTCCATTGTTTGTAGAAAAACTACTATGGTATTCACAACTCCAACATGTTCGTCCTTTCAGATAGGCAAGACAAACTCGCACGAGCGTTCTCAGAAATCAAACGGACCGTAAAGCCTCATTGTTGTAGCCTGTACAAAGCTTTTACTCAGGTGGTCAGGATGGGGTGACGCTGGTTCCGTGGCCAATGTACCTTTGAATGTAACGATACGATAGTTGTTCTACATTCCGAAGCGACCAATCACAGGGGGGTATTCACGCGAATAAAAAGTCAGGCTACAGCGTAGGCCGACTGGTCACACGAAAACCATACAGCACTGGTCGTATTGACATACCGAAACATTAAAACGAAGCACTGACAGGGAGCAACGTTTCCTCTCGTCATACATCATAAGTGGGCGCCTGGCAGCCAAAATGTGGATTTCCTGTGGTGTTGAAATTTCAAATTCGGATTAGGCCATCATTGGCCAGTTTCGCCTAGAGGTCGATATTTGTACCTAAGTCGATTTCCTAAGCCATGACGTGCCTCTCAGAGACTTACTTAAATAACTCCACTACTAATCTAATACGGGATGGAACAGACACATCACAGTGGACAAGTCTATAACCCAGGCCTTCAGGGCGTCGCCCTTGTGCTATGTATTTGCTCCATGACCTGCACATCAACATCCTCAAGACATGTGCTGGTGGTGTCCCCCACGGAATTGACAGTGAATACCGTATAAAATCACTAACACCCAACCAACAACGATAGGTTTTGCAAACAACCACCACTGTCGACCGAAAAGACCTGGAGACGTCTTGAAATAGGGGATGACTCGAATGCTTGAGTGTGCGGACGGAATGACAACACTTACTACGTACTTAGCGGACTTGGTTTCGTCCACTGATATGAGAATGGTGAGAGGCTCACTAACCTAGTGATTATCAGTCAACTTGTTATGAGCACCCAATCAAACAAGCAGTGAACAGATAGCCAGACCATGGCTACATAGCCACACCAATGGGTTACACTTTGGCATACAAATATCAATCAGACTACAAGTCCGTTTCTGGTTCCACTCTAATGTAGACGCGGGTTCCTGATAGAACGAAATACACGTTCCCAAAAGCGTAGTGGTTTTTCCTAATCCACTATACCATGAGATATACGAGATGACCTTAGTGGTTAGAGCGCGAATTTAACGACCAGAAGGTCCGTGGTTCGCATCCGGCCTGTGCATCTCGACTTCTGTCTAGGCTTGGGCAACCTGGCAGTATCCCAGCCCCCGTGCTTCCTTTCGAGTGGCATGGCAGTTAGACGATTGGGGTACTACACCTGAACTACAGCTGAATCCCTCGCTTATGATTGTCTTAAGCAACTAAGTGTGCTGAACCAGGCCATCTAATGATTCATTTGGTACGATTTCGAGATATTGTCGTGCATTGTATAGGAGTAATACACTATTCACAAGAGTTTTCAGCAACCTTGAGTAGTGTATTACCACTGTACAAAGTACCGGCGTTAATTCGCTACCGTTGTAGCGCTATTAAAAAGCGACAAAATGTAAACTCGAAATGAATCGGACAATGACGTAAGGCTTCACAAAAAATAGAACGCAAATGAAACCGTGAGACTGGAGTGTGCATTCCGATGAAGACTAACAGGCCATTCTTGACCGGATATATAGCGCACAAACCTAAAAAATGAAGTGCAACATGAGAGTTGTGGAATGACGAATGAAGGCGCCGAAAGCGAGTGAAAACGTGCGTATAGCCAACATGGCTACCCACAGTCAGAAAGCGTTGATACTGGTGAGCCGTTGGGTCATAGGGAGCGAGATGTCTCAGTGATTAGAGCACGAATTTACTGACTGGAAGGTTTGAGGATATCAATTTAAAATAAGATGAGCTTGTTTCAATCCGACCCAAATCATTCCGAGGTAACTGCACCTTCAGAAGCGTACCACCACCGTATGGTCATATTCACTGGACGTCCTGCAACGCAAATGATTTATACTCATCATAATGTGTGTGGCGCATGCTGTCTTTCAAAACGGTAAACTTATCCAGCTGGTAGCGAAGTGACTAGCATAAGTTTGACCTTACGGGTGAAGCGAACAGACACTCATCGCCCTCACCTTCAAACCAATGATTCCAGTCAGTGGAAGCGACATCGCGGCAGCAGGTGAGATGGTCCGTAATGCGACATATGGGTTGTAGTAACTAATGACAGTCGTACAGACGAAATGTCAGTAGCAAGACGGGGAATTCCTATCAAACATGGGATAGAACAGTGTTTTTCATAGCCCACAAATAAGTCGACAAACCAAACAGTCAGCAGGCCTGGAGAGTAGTTTGAATCAAGCATAGGAAACGGGATATCAAAGGGGAGTTGTATTTTGGAAGTGGGATGATCTATACACGGAAGGGAATTATCACTTGACATTGGGAGAAGGTTTCTGAACTGGTGCACAATCTAACTTTCCCCGAACGACTTTGTGTTTGACCCCGATCAAATCTTGAGTACGACCGCCTCGGACAAGAACAACATTATGCTCTTGTAAATTATGTCCCTCTCCGGGCACGTGGGCAACCACTTCACGCCCGTTACTAAGCCGCACGCGCACACATTTTCGATTTGCGCTGTTGGGTTTCTTGGGTTTGCGAATCAGCGTCTTCAAAACAATTGCTTTCATAAAAGGTTTGTGATCCATTGGCTTGTTTGGTGGACGCTTTTTCTGATGTGGTCCCATCACTGCCATATAGGCTAAGGTGGCCAGGGAGCGCGTTGTTTCGTAGATAGGCGAGAAAGACATGGAGTTGATGTGTCGTACAAGATGGCTAGGAGGAATGACTGATGAGTGTTGGACAAAGCTGCATGTTGGTCGACCTTTTGGGAAAAAGAGGGTAGAATAAACTTTGGAATGTGGAATAAGAATGTGGAATTAAGAATGAAGCCACAAATCAAAGACGTGTGAGATAAGGGCCTCATGAAAGCAAGCGACTGCAACCATAAAAAATTTCACCACACGTTTCCGTCAATGTGCGCATGAGCTCCGCACCGAAGTGCGTACCATAGCTGATGTTTTTTATCTGCAACTCGAGCCACATGCGACAAACCCACTATTAAATAGTTTCATTGCCCCCAAAAAAGTATATACAATAACACTGAAGACATAACTTGTACCAAGCCAACCACTGCATGTGTAAATCTCAGCTCAGCTGTGCAGCTTTTCGGTGCATGGAGACCATTTACCCCAAGGATAGCTGATGTTTTTTATCTGCAACTCGAGCCACATGCGACAAACCCACTATTAAATAGTTTCATTGCCCCCAAAAAAGTATATACAATAACACTGAAGACATAACATGTACCAAGCCAACCACTGCATGTGTAAATCTCAGCTCAGCTGTGCAGCTTTTCGGTGCATGGAGACCATTTCACCCCAAGGAAGCGAGAGGGCTGATATACTACCAGGGTGCCTAAGCCTAGACAGGAACAGTCAAGATGCTGAGATCAGGTTAGAAAAACACGGACCTTACGATCAGTACGTTTGTGCCCTAACTATTGAGCTACCTCGAACTCCAAGTATAAAGATCGAAAATACCGGAATCGACCAGCCCGATTTCAACCAACTCCGGGAGTGCCAAGCGACTAAAAGTGGGAATTCCAAACAATTACTTGTTCAGTAAAAGCAACATTCCTCATTGGAATAGTTTCCATTGCTAGTAGTAACCTACAGCTTTGTACTAAAACATCGATGTGCACTACTTGTAGTGAACAGAGGAGGACAACTCGCAAAACATAACATCAGCAACGCGTATTGGTCACAACGAGCTAGTTCAGCCATGTGGAGTAGGACGTGGTAGGGAGAGGTTCTCAGATGAGATGTGTATTGAATTAGCCACAGTCGATAACAACAATGGAGACACTAAATCGACTGTGAATTGAATGTGCGTGTTTTGAAGGAGGCGATAGAATAGGTAAGGTAACTTTCATGACCGTTTTAACTAAATGGTTGCATTTGTATCCTTTTATACTCAGTGTTTTCCACCCCGTCACTCCGCCTCGTTTACTCCCGTATTCCGACTAGTACAGCGCGTAGTTTTATCCTCAGATCTCGTCTTTGTCTTATGCTCGATCTGATACTAATTTATGAAGATAACAGTTTTCTGGTTTTATAATTTGAATAGACAGATGCATCCAGACTGTGCGTCCACTGGTTCCACGCCATCTGAATGCTATTGAAACAACTAAAGCCAACAATCTACTTACTTATTCACTCTGTCGACCATTTCATTTACGACTATATTGCAGACTGTACTGATTATGATTCTCCCGCTATTATTCCGAAGAAAGTCAAGTGTGAATATACACTCATTTGCAAACTAATTTGGTTCTTTCGAGAGACTCACCTGGAACCCAGCTGAATCTCTCATTTATGATGTTCTCAGGATTTTCAGCAACCTTATGAGTAGTACATTACAAAGATATACATGCATCGCGAAAAGTCAAGTGTGCTCTGGCTACTTGCAGACAAAAAAACGGTCAAGACGTCGGTCACTTTGTGAAAAAACCGAAGTGTTTGACAAAAGACTGCCACTTCAATGCGATTTTAATTTAGGTACATACCGACGGATATGTACGGGACGCTTCGACTGCTCGTATTCAGTCAAATACTATTCGAGGATCAGATTGCACAATACGAACTGATTGTTAGGTCATCCACTCGTTAATCCCCAAATGGAAAAGGAAAATGCATTATCGTATTGATTAAACTGTTGCGCTCGTATTCACCTACACTCACTGTTCTCTACTCTAATGTTAGCTGTATTCTTTCACCTCAGTTCACGTGACTATGCTATTGGATGGATAGAGGCAATGTTACTTTCAAATGCTGTCTTTGTCCTGCGCTAAATACTGAATCTAACAGTAACCTCATGCGGTGGGTGTAACGGGATCGCAGTGAATATTGAAAATGAAGACCACTGAGTTCTTTAGTTAGAGGGTAATTCGCAGGTCGTACGGCGCATCCATGAGGACTTAAAACCGGACAACACTATGTAACGAGGCCCGTGATGATTAGTGCAACCACCATTTTGACGAGCAGTAAGTTGGATAGCAGGTTCGACATGTGTACAATCAGTGATAACGACACAAAAATAACATGAACCAACTACAAATGCCCGATTGGGAAAGGAGGGCTATGTAGTAAATGCAACTGATCCATTGAGGTACGGTGGCGGAATAAAGGGCTATGTTGGTTGATGTCCCTATCTCCCGACGTTTCAGGCACCAGGATTACCATTTAGGGACCGATTACAGAATGGAAAGGAATATATCGATTATGGTTACCACAAAGTACCAAAGAATAACTTAACCTCAAATAGTTGGGATAGGCAAAAAATTTCAAAGCGGTGTGTGAAAGATGTGGTGACTTGTGGTTCAGTGAACATGAGGTCAATACTCGTAGAATGATATTATTATTAAAGACTTAGAAATACTGAGACTCAGGTATATGGAGAACCAGAGATTCGTGTCTCTTACTTTTGTGATACAATATGGTCGCCTCGAGGTCACAAACTAACCATAAACAGGAAATTCAAGCGTAGAACTAAGTAACTGTGATATCGCAAGTGGGTAACCGGCTGAAGTGAACAAAATGTCATCAACTAGCAATTCTGTCGGCTACATCCCCTTGTACTTATCAACTTCTACCTCAAGTTCGTCAAATATTATAGTAACTAGCAGCATGAAGGATCACCCTTAGCTTACAGATTTCTGAATGCGCGTGGACAGAAAGGGGAGGATACCAAACGCTCATATACTCGATAATAAAAAAAACTGACCAAACACGGGCAAACAAGAGATCCGCGATAAAATGCCGAGCAACATGTGCAACAGGCTTGAAGGAAAACGGGCGTACCACCGTATCGGAAAGAAAGATCACCAGGTAACCTAAAAATATGGAACACAAAAACGCGGCCTCAGGTCTGTGAAGCTGAGAACTATAATTCCAACAATGTTACCTAACACAGCTTGCGTAAAGAAATAATGGGGAGACCTTGGGCCAGGGAAGTAGATCATATAGCCAAATTTGAATGATAGATAACTTGTGATAGGGTGGTTGTTAGAGTTAGGAATAAACTAAGAGCAGCATGAGCACCAGTAGTTGAGCGAGTTCATCGTCCCATAAAACCCGCTATCAGTATCATTAGCTATAGGCCGTCTACTTCTGACCATCACAGTTGTGTTTAAAGATATAAGTGGGAACTGGAACTGGAGTTATACAAAAAATCCCCAGAGTTGCACGCTGTAAAGCTGCTTCCAACAACCAATAGTTGTCACCATGACGTGGTGATCTGGCTTGCGTATTGTAATGATTCCGCAGGCTAACCAGGATGGGATTTCACTTCTGAAGGTTAGACTATACCAGGAAAGCCGAAGTAAAGCAACTAAACAAAAAGCGGTGAGTCTGTGTGCTAATATTGTCCCCAATACGAGACAACCTTAGGGTAAAGTTGTAGGAAACTTAGAGTAAGATCGTCAGGACGACGGAGTCGCCACCTTCTTTGAAGAGTGCAGGATGCAAACCATTTGGACCGGGTATTTTGTTGCCCTGAAGTGATGAAATTACACGCTGGACTGCCGTCGTCGATGGTGGGCTGATGTCGACGCCCCAATCCGATTCATTCGGTCCTTCCAGAGGTTAAGGTGATGAGAGCCGGCTAAATCGTTCTTCAACGTGATCAGCCTATCTTTCAAGACGACGTTTTTGAACCAACTGACGTTCCAACCTTTTCGGAAACCGCCCCACACCCTCAGATCAGTTGATCGGATTAGATGGAACAGCGAGCAAATGCACCCCATCTCAGAAGCTTTTTCCGTCTCACGGGCTTCTCCGATCCACGAATACTGTCAACCCTTCGCCTCCTCACTATTCGGCATCTGATGGGCCTATGTGCTCTATTATAGTCGTTTGCTATCAACACAGTTTCCGGAGATTCAATAAGAGATGCTGATCATGACGAGATCCAGGGTTCATTGGGGTGTGGGCCAACCTCGGACAGATGGTTTCAAAAGCTGAGCGTGGCCTATTCCAACTTTTTCCCATCATCATCCAAACCACTATTACAAACATCGTGCTCACCAAGTTGTGGAAGATTCTCAGTCAATTCAACTCGATAGTGTTGAGCTACAAAGATGCTTTGTAGGTAAACAACTGGCGGTTTCGCAACGACCGACGTGTTCCCGAAGGAAGGCGAATAGATAGGCGCGACCGCACAATACTGTGACCGCAGTCTAGTGGTACACTCCAAAATGAACGACAACCTAATATCAAGGCTCTCAAGTGGTAGCGGATGACTTTTTTCCTCATTAGACAACTCAGGTAGTTTCATACCTTTGTAGTTAGGTTTTTGAGCTATGGCTAAGGACTATACTGGTCCTCGTTTCCGGGTTTGGGCACCCTGATAGTGCGTAAATCCACGAAACCATGAGTCGTACAATAATTTCCTTCATACCATATCGATTGTCGTACGCTGTCCATTCATGATACAAAATGCTTTGTACCTTCGAGAATTTGGTGTAGTTCAACTAGGTTTGTTACATCATTTGACGTGCCGTCAAATGAGACAATGTTTTTGTATGAACAGGGAGGTGCTGTGGAGCCAGAGAACTCTAGAAATGGAGGAGGCTGATGAAGCACGGAATACACAGAAACTGTTTCAGCTAATCCTGAAAACAGGATCAGAGACATCATTTCTTAGTGAACAAATCAAACCTATTATTGTAAATACAATATACCATAAAACCAGAGTCTAGAGAGCTGGGCGGGACACTAATGACAGTCTAATTGGCCCTCGGTTTCTATACCCATACCTTTCTTTTGATCCGCTCAACTCAAGCCATGGCCTGAGTTTAGATTCTCCCAAGTTGAGTAAGTGCTTTGACTTTCCGTCATTAAACGTCAGTCAGGTGTCGGATCAGGCGAGCTTCCACCGGCGCTAATTAAAGACGGTGGGGCATCTTTGTGCTTCATACTAACTGGATTTTTTGGGGTTACTTGGCAACAAGAACGCATTGTAAGTAACTGAACAAACCGATCATCATACTCCTTCAAAAAAAGCACAAGTTACTATTCCAACTATGAGGGTATCAGCCTGACGGCAAGATGGCTCAAGTGAGTAGAGCGCGAATTTACTGAAGGTCCATGGTTCGATCCTGACCTCTGCCCAAACCGTCTGGGTTTGGACAACCTGGCAATATCCCAGCCCTCGTGCTTCCTCTGGGCAGCATGGCAGCTAGGCATTGAAAGGGTATTACAGCTGAACGATATTCTTTTTTTGTCATAACAAGGCTACTGAATCCAACAATAATGCGATGTCTAACTTCGGCATACGAGAAGCTGATCCGAGAACATCAGGCGGGGTTTCGTCAGGGTAGAGTGAACTAGTCACGTTTTCGCCCTGAATCGACTGCTTGAACAGCGGCACATACCGTCGGCCAAGAACTGCGACCTGCCTCGAATTCAAAGGAGCCCTTGACTCCGTATGGGTTAATCTATCCATACACACGAAGACTGATCCTAAAGTTTGTCAATGCACACCGTGCTCCATGTTCCCACACTTCTGATCGTGTAAGAGGTTTAAACTAACCGTCCAGAGTTGGAGTTAGGCAGGGCCACTCTTCCTCTTCTTCTATGTTCACTTTTATCATCGATATCGTCAAGGAATGCACACCCCAAAAGATTAAATTTGACTAGAGAAAGATTATGGACTTGGATTATGCAGACGATAGTGTCCTGTTATTTGATAATCATCAGTCCATAGAGAATCATCATCATCAGCATCGACAGCATAACAGCAGTGTTCAACACCGATGCTTCACTGCCGTATAAGAGAAGATTGAAGACAAAGTTTCAGGAGTGGTTTCGGCATGCGTTTGCATTTTCAAGGTGCAATGTACTGTTTCAAGATGTTGAGCCTTCTTATGTTACTCTGGAATCCGATAGAAAGGAAGATGAGTTTGTTAACCAGTTCACCCATCTGGATAGTTGCACAGAAGCCAATCCATGTTTCACCAGTGCGCAAGCAGCGATCCCCAATTAGCGACATTTGTGGGATCTGAGACGGATTTCACTGAAGATGACGGACCATATGTACAAGATAACGGTACGAGATGAGAGAGCGGGTGAGAAGGCTGATCGTGCCGATTCGCATAGCAGGTGCCAGTTGCCTACACCGTGTTCACAGTGAAGTTGTTGCTTGATGACGAATAAGAAGCATTGGAGCAGCAATTTAAACTCATTAAGTTGGGATGGTTCAAACGTAGGTTGAGTACATTTAACTATCGACTAACCAGGGCTCCTATTGGGACCGCTCAGCTAATGCCTGTTGGTCGCTCTTGTTTGGATCGTGACGAATGAAGTTCGTACAAGACAAGGGGTTATTCTTGTCAACGGCATCTTACTGCAATATGATGCTCGGGTGTGTTTATCTCGTTTGTAGTCTTGTCCGCATTTTGCCCCTACGGATAGTGGACCGTTTCTAATAAGCTTCACCATTCCCTATTCATCCCATCCTTTAAAAGAACATCGACATTATTCCCGATAATCCTGTAGAGGTTAAGCACTAGTATTTGTCACTGATGTATTGCTGCAACGTTCCCAGTTTAGACTGGGTCTGGGGAAAAACATTTGGTCCTGGTGCCTTCCTACATTGTGGGAAGAGTATTTTATCCTTTATTTCTTCTGGCTGGCAATATAGCTCCATGTTTTATTCGTTCGCAGGCAGTCTCTATGGTCTGTATTACGGAAACCAGCTAAACTGTTCTTCGGAGTACTCAGCCCAACTTTCAAATCGGCTTTTTTACGGATGAATTACCGAGCCACCTTTTCCATTCGTCGTTCCAGTGACGGCTGCCTTCCTTTGACATGTCGATCGTGTTGTATGCAGCATGGCTTTTTCCGGTGGCAGAAGCCTCCTCCATCTTCTAAAATTTCATTATCCACCAGGGCACTCACTCCTTTCCTGTTTGGCGTTTGGAGGTTTGTGTGTGACAGCAACAATTAGTGATGAACGCACAACTAAGTAAGTCACCATTCTTTGTGTATGTGGCGAGAATCAACTTCAGATTGATATTATTTCAGATATTATTTCAAGGAGCACAGAAGACCGACTTGGACGTTCAGAGCATTAAAGCCTCCTGACGAATCAATTCGGATAAATCCAAATGGAATGTACTCTTTTTCAGCATCAGAAGTGCAGTTATCTCGCCCTGGATGGACTGCAGGATATTTTTGCTCAAAACCGTTCCCGATCCGTCAAATTTCCTTCGCCAATCCTAACTACTTAAATGTCGCCAAATACTTCACCAAAGATGTCAACATACAGGGTTATTTATGATCTAGTGTATGTCGTATGATGTCGCGATGATGGTACCGCGACTGTCATACCATCCAATGGCCTGTTCACCATAGTTCTACCTTCTAACGAGCGTACCACTTGCACACAAGACTGTCTTGAAGGATTCACGCTGTCCTAGCATGAACTATGAATTATTCCGTTGCACTGTAAACTGTTTCTGCTATCAACTCATTTATTCCATCTGGTTCGTTTTCTGTCTGGTTGCACGTCGCCCTGCAGGGCTTTTTTCTTACATTTTCTGGCTATCGTAGTGACTTAGCAGCTGTATCTGCTGTAGTTCTTGCAAAAATAGCACATTTTGAACCATCGTAAGGATCTACAGGTGGACGAGTATATATCGAATCTAAGACTGCTTCTGCCACAAACTCTGATAGACAACACACGGCGTGCATATCATATAAATGTCGTCAAATACTATGGATACCATCTGTGATGTGTCATCCTTGTG